TTTTTTTCTTTCTACATTTATCTTAAGGGTTTTTCCCATTATTTTAATTTTAGTTTTAGTATGACATTATAAATACCATTTATATTTTTACTTTTTTATAATTTAAAGAAGAAACCACTCCTATGTATAGTTGACATTTGAGGCTTCATACTATAGAAAAGCACTACAAGTTTTTCAGTTAGTGTGTTTTCAGCTTGTTTATTTTCATATAAAAATACGGCATGCAGTTGCATCAAACAATGGTATAAACATCATTCAATGTAAATTGTGATAATCGTAATTAATAATCGCAATTACAATTTCAAGGGAATAATCGACAATTATGATTTTTGTCATAATCGTGCAGCCCTACTTTGACTACATAGTTATGGAAAATGAGAAGGCTCTGACCAGCACTTATGACTGGATATAAATCTGAGCACATGTAGCTGTAATTGTTGGTTACTGCACATTTTAAAGCCATATGAAAGTCAAGGATCCGCTATTAGCAGGTCTTTTTATTAACTGGCCCCTGGTGCACATTTTGGCCCATGAGCTGCATAATTTGAGTATCCCAGAGGAAGATTAACAAAAAATTGCCTAATTCAGAAATTTAGCCGAGCGCTAACAGACAAAATGGGTACCATAAAAGCCCCTTTGACATTTGAAATAAGAATTTAATCTAAAGCAAAATGCTTGTTTTTCCTTTCTGTGCATTTTCTCTGAATAGTAGCGTGGCAGTGTATTTTTTATGGTTGTCTGCACTGAGGCTTGATTTCTCTTGACATATCTATCACAAAAACAAGTGCTTAATGAGGTATAAATATTCATGAGCTTGATCATCAATCAGACAATCACACAACAGTGCTGCTCCTCGAGCCACAGATTCTCATTTCTCACACACAGTGGACCAGACAGCACTGAACGGACTGCCCCATACACACGCCACCTGGAAACACACACGCATACACATTTTATTTCTCCTTACGCACACAGACCTGCCTGGAGGAATTCACTAGACTCAAGCATACACAGCACATACAGTAGTTCAGATATGGGATCTTAGTGGTTAAAGATCTTGTAACCCAAACTTTATATATATATATATATATATATATACATTTATTAAAGGGGTCATATGATGCGATTTCAATTTTTCCTTCCTTGTTACAAGCTCTTGGTGCATAAAGAAGATCTGTAAAGTTGCAAAGACTAAAGTCTCAAATCCAAAGAGATATCCTTTATATTAAGAGTCA